TGCACCCACTTGCAGCATCAAGCAGATCATCTATGCATGACAATGGGTATGCATTTCTTTCTTGTGATTCGGTTTAAACCACGATAATCAATACACATGCGGAGTTTGCCTCCTTTCTTTGGGACAAACAAAATAGGTACACCAAATTCAGATTCACTAGGCTTAATCCATCCCTTGTCGATCATCTCATCGATTTGTTTCCGAAGTTCCTCTAACTTGCTTGATCCCATTCCGTATACACAACCCTTTGGAGGAACAACACCTTTGACCAACTCGATCGTGTGTCGGACCGATCGCGTGGGAACTCACGTGGTTCGACCAGAACGTCCGGTAATCGGTCGAGTAGGTTTTGAATGCTTTGGGGCCAGTGGGGGCGAAGGATCAAAAGGCTCACCTAGATCAAGGAGCAAATTATGAATGGAGGCGACTGAATCCGAAGTAGAGTCATTTGGACTAGGGGTAGGTAGAGAAGTAGAAGTGCGAGAATTAGATTCATTAGATAAAGTAGTACTAGCCACAAAAGTAATAGGCACATGAGTAGGGCGAACGAAGGCAGCATACAATTGTTTATCCTCTTTGTGCTTGCGCCACTTCTTGCAAAACTGACTCGTGCTTCTCATCCAAGAGGACGGGAAGCTCGTTCCCTTGAGCATCTTTGACCATGAAAAGTGGCTCCTTCCACTTGGTCCATTCGCATTGGGACTGCAACTAGTCCAAGCCGAGGACTGCTTCGAAGGGACACTTGTCAAGGACATAGAAGTTCAATGTGTGGGCGACTGTCTTGTCCTTGTCAAAGGTAGTGCGGACACCTTTGACTCCATGCGTAGATGAGACAACCTCTTTGTTGCCTACTTGAGTCCGACAAGGGCGGGTCCGACGTTGGTTCTCATGATCAAGGACTGGCTCAATGGTTGAGTTCCCAGCACCTCAAAGTAGGCTCTCATGGAGCTGATCCAGGACTCTACGTCTTCCTTGTTGTCGTACTTGGATGGTATAAAAACCGCCTTTCTGTCTTCAAAGGGACTGCGATATCCGGTACCAGCAATTGCTGTATCTGAACTCGTGGTTGGAGCAGTTGCAAAATTCCCCGCGCCGTCACTTGCTGCAGTGGCAGCGGGGTCTTCACCCCTACTGCAAGCCCCAATTGAACCACACTCAAAGGAGTAGAGGTATGGAGAGGAGCGAGGACAAAATGGTTAGCAGCATTGGAGGCAAAAGGTAGAGGAAGCGGATTAGGAATCTGGTCCTTATGCAAATTTGCCATCTCCCGCATTTGATCACTGTGCTCCTTGGCCATTTCTGCCTGCAGTTCACTTATCTCAACAGAAAGTTTCGTGATCTGAACAGGGACGTCACTGAGTAGGTGACAGTCTATGAGAGCACGTACGTATGCGACTAGCTCCTTCTTGATGTCAGTGTCAGGCAAGGAGGGGACTGTTTTGAAGACAGCCTCATGGTAAGCAACAACAGTTTATCTCTTTTCCTCCTCGGCCTTCTCCTCCCTCGCCAGTGCCTTGTCGTAGAGAGTTTGGAACAATGGTTTGTCCTCTTCCACGACTGCATCCAATTGGGCCTTTAAGGCCACCGAAGCCTTCGCATCGACCATTTTCGCAAGTCCCTTAAGGTGGGTGCTCTCACTTTCCCTTCTCTCTCTCTCTCTTCCTTTTGTCTGCGAGTCTCTACGGGCATCTAAATATGAACTTAGGAAAGAAGCAAATTGAAAAGCTCAAAGAAGAGAAGGTAGAACTCCTAGCCGGAACGGCATTTCATTTAGACTAGAGCGCAACAAACAAATAAAAAAAAAACAAATTTACATGAGAGGTCTGATTCAGTGACTCAGTCTGGTCAGATTGCAAACGAGATCCCCTTGAGTCCAGTCTGACCAGTTTCGTGACCGCACAACAAATTAGACAACGAGTGACTACATGCAACAATGGAGAATTGAGTGGTGTATAAGGTGCGATCCAAGCCACGGACGGTGCAACCAAAGCATGTGAAATGTCTCAGCCGAGATCCCCTCGGCAGTGGGTGTCCTAACCAAAAAGAATAAACTCTGGATCTCAGTCAGAAAGAGAATCAACCAATGTCTCATAGATTTGGGTCCAAGTGGCCCTTCTTGCTTGGACCCGGTCCCACTGGGTCACTAAGGGTCCCACGTAGGTCTTGACCGAGTCCCAGCCAAGAGGAGTCCCACATGGACTCAATTTTTGCCTTCACCGTACTGAAAAAACGAATTTCAACTTCCAGCAGAACCACAGACTACAACCGTTCAGAGATGAAAAGACAAAGCATTGTAGAAGGACTCAGCATTCAAATCAAGATACTTCGTTTCTCCATCCATCAGGTGAGTAAGTAGTTCACACATTTAATCACACAATCAAGACCACAAAGGAGTAGGAAAGAAACCCATAATAACCCCAGCAGGACAATCAATACCATGCACACATACATGGGCATCCCATAGGTGCACGGCACTTACCTGAGTGGCCTGAGCTTCGAGATGAATAGTACTCACCCCCCTCTCATACGATCCTCCTAATCAATGTAACGCTGCCCCTCACTAGTGTCCTATCTCCTAGGAGGGTCTGACTCCAACACCCAAGTGCAACGCCGGGTCCCCCGCCGATGCTGAAGAACAAAGTAGCAACTTGCAGTCCGTTGATGCTGAATGGCCGCTGTCCCTCAAGTTGGCCTACTTGAGGGAGGCCCTTAAGTCGGCAAGTGTCTCCCTTGAATCAGATTCCAGGTGTGAGTGCCTCTCACTGTCGCCTCTCTCAAGTTGTCGCATGAAGTCTCCATGAAATGTCTCACCACCCCAATCTCACTCTCAAGCAACCTGGTTTGGTCCAGTGTCGACCCCACACCACCTAACCAGGTGGGGGCAGCTTCCCTTAGCCACACCGCCCCACTTCCCTTACAACCAACCCTAACCCTAAGTGTTGCCCTCAACCACTTAGGTTAGGGTTAGGGCAGCAAAGTCAACTCTCACCAGCAAGTAGAATCCGCTCTGATACCAATGTTATGATCCTGGCCAATTTTGAAACACACATTCATCAAATAGTACAATGCCGTCCAATTGCAAAAAGAAATGAATGAACTTGAGAGGAGAGAGGGTAAGAAGAAGAAGAAAAAGAAAGAAAGAACAAGAAGATGATGTACACCAGCATAGACAAGTGATAATGCTCTTCTTCTTCGCCAACCAATCTCCTCCTCCTTAGCTCCTCCTCTCTAATTCACACAGGAAATGATAATAATGTTAAATGGCTGAACCAGAATCAATGTCCAAATCCCTTTTCTACTGCAGGTATCACATGAGGTCCACCATAGCCATGGCCACCCTTCCTCTTCCTTCGTCCAAGGCCGAGGCTATGGCGGACTACTCGGGCCTTGCCCTGATGTCCAAAGGACAACTCAAAGCAGCTATGGCTGCTCTAGCTCTGGCCGCCATGCCTGACTCTGCCTCGAAGCTTCTTGGTGTAGCTCTACCCCAGCTGGGGCCTTCCTGCTGCAGCGTCCACCAAGGTGATGAAGATGGCGTCCACCATAGCCAGGTAATTACCTCTGGCCCTCCTCCCTCCTAGTTCCTGTCTTCTCCCTCCTCCTCCTCCCCAGCAGCGCTGCTTCTTGCTAGCGCTGCTCCAGCCAGTGCTCCAACCAGTGTTTCGCCAAACTTGCACACTGACAATGAGGCCAGGCTCTTTGCTCGGCCTCGAGGTATAGCGGCCTACTTGCCTCCTGGGCAGTGACTTCCAGGCCGCTCGGCCTTCCAAGCAACCAGTATCTCCTCCCTTTCGGAGGGAAACATCATTGCAGACTCTGATATTGCCCGTACAGGCCCTAAACTCAGACTGGTTGGGCTGGTACCCACCTAGACCTAGCCTACAACCACTGGGCCTCTAAAAATGCTAACTTTTGCCTTCTTCTGCTCGACCTCGAGTACCCGGCACATCTATCTCTAAATGGTGTGGTACCGGCCTACCTGCTACTTGAGTGTTTCTCGCCACTTGAGTGTTTTCCCCGCTGCAATATTCAATGTCACGGCCACAGGTAAGTACCAGCCCTTCGGGCCCAATGAACGAACAAGTGCCCTTGCAGGTCACACACACACTCAAGCCGACAAGCACTCATACAGACACACAGACCAGCAAGCGTGCACACACACAGACTTAGAGAACTCAGTAGCAAGAGGGAAACTCAGCAAGGCATTCAGTCCATAGCAAAACTCAGAAATCAGTTGTGTGTCTCAGTCCGTGTTTGGTCAGGTCATTACACTAGGGACATGAAAAAACAGGTATATATTCCCGGGGGATGTCGAACCCGCTACAGTTTGAGCAGGAGGAGTAGAAGGGCTGTAATGGGCGAGTGTTGTACGCCCATCACATAATGCGGTTATTCTCCGATTACAGTACTTTTGACTAACTCCATTGCGGAACTGTGGCTAGCTCACTGGAGATTAGCATTTTGATTATCATTGGTTCTGAATCTACTGATCCGTAATGTTTTTTTTTGTGAAACAACGGAGGATGCGGCAGGTTTAGAGTTCGTAAAGGCAAAAAAGACACGTGCGGGCAAAGAAATCAGGCGCCGACTTTGAAATGGCAATTTCAGTCGAGAAGTATCCGTTAGGCTTTTCCTTTTTCGTTTCTTTCCCCATCTGACACCACGACCGACCCCTGTAAATATGACACCCAGACTGACACCACGACCGAGGTACCTTCATTGCCCTTTTCAAACTCGCACCTAGTTTCTTTGCAGACGCATGTTTTTTGCCCTCTATGAAACTTTGATGTGACATGAACGTACTTCCCCCTTTTTTTTTAATGAGTTGTTCGCTTTTGTAATGTTATAGCTCATATGGGAAAAAATGGTTATCTTGGTTGCACACCATCATCATGATTTGCTTTGACAAAGTAAATGATGGCTTTGTGGTAACTGTACTTGTCACGAATCGTTGTGTGTCTTCTGTTCTACTGTATACATGTCTGTTTGGTGTGCTTTAGGTTCTACTCCTGGGATCTTGTGTTTTGGAACGGTCCATCAGTGGAAGCAGAGGCACAACTCTCCTCTTCTCGCAAACCTTTCTTGACGAACTTCCGCTCGCTTATCGTAAGTCCGTTTTGTCTCCCATGACTTCTGGCATTCCCATTTAGTGTCTGACCTCTTGAGTGTGTACCTTTCTATTGACTATAATTTGGTATCTATGCTTCTAGCATCAAGCCTTCCATTGCATAGTCTTCTAGTGTCTATCCTGATACTGGGTGCTCTTCTAGTGTGGACCTTTCTCGGGGGCAGTCTTTTAGCATGTGCAGTTCCAGTGTGCATCCTTCCTGTGTGAAGCCCTTCTGTTGTGTGTACCCCTCTAGTCTCTAGTCACCGGTTTCACAGTCTTCTATTTTGTCCTCTTCTGGTGTCCGGTCTTCTGTTGCACTGAGTTCTGATGTGTGCCCTGCTACTGTCTTCCCCTGAACGCTAGGCACGCTCGAAGCTATCTTTTCGGTGTGTGATGTTGTTCCAGTTTGGAGCCCTGTATTGTTGAATATTTCTAGTGTCGAATGTTCTGTTGGATGGTCGTCCACTGTGCACCGTTCCTGTGTGGAGCCCTCTAGTCTGTAGTCTTCTATCATCTCCCCTTATTGTGCACACCCCTAACGTTTCTACCCCGTCATCACATAATCGCGCTATGTGTGTCTTCCATTTTGTGTAGCACAATGGGACATTTCGTCTGGGATCAGGTTTGTGAGCATTTAAAATGCCCCACGAAAGTGGGGCATACTTCTCATGACTCATACGTGTAGGCTGTATAGACCTTCAATCAGGGCTATGTTCTATGTGTGGTCCTCCAAGCGTTGTGCTTCAGGAGATGTGCTGCTGGGAATTGTAGTGGAATGGCTCCAGGTGCGTCAATCTGCCCGCTCTTCTACAGCTGGTCAGCCACGCCTGCCTCCTTCAAGCACGCACCTGTAGTGACTCCACTGGAGGCCGTTCAATGTTGGTCGTAGGCTGTTCAGTGGTTGCCTGCCTCCTGCCTGTAGTGGTCCTAGGCTGTCTTCTGGAAAGCCATGTGTTGAAAGTGGGTGGGTTTCAATGGTCTTGTCTCAGATCGTGTTTGCCCGACACATATGGTTTTTGCTGAAGATCTGGCGCTGGTGTGTAGGATGTGTTTTCATTGGGTGGAGCGTCTGTTCTGAATTTTTGCAGTGACTGAAAATAGCTGGGGGCTGGCTGAAAACTGGGGGCGGGCTGAAATCAGTGGCCTGCGTTGCTACATACATGGTGCTGTTATTGTGAAAGAAAGAAAACCTTTGCATCACCCTGTTTCCTTTTCCAAAAGAAACAAACATGTCGACTGTAAGCGGTGACGTCTTTGCAAATGGAAGAAAAGTGCCTCACACCCTGAAAAACGAAGGAAAGCAAAAAGCAATGCAGACCGGTGGTGCACTGAAAGACTGTAGAGGGTGTGAAAGTCGATGAAACAGTCTGTCACAGCCCCCCGTTTCTTGTACTTTTCTTCCTTTCTGCCCATGGTTCACTGGGCAGTTCTCAGTGACTACATATACGTGTATGTATATGCCTCTGGTTTTAGATTGTCTTCATTAGAATTGTTGCTCGATTTAAGACATGTATGCATCATTCTGCTTATGTCATGGACCAGCATCCCCACACTGCGCTGGTAGGTGTCTGTCTGAGAGGTGTTTGCCAGTGTCTTGCATTCTTTTGGTTTCTGAAACCATGCGCCAATTTATCTGATAGGTGTTTGTCTTTGTCTTTGAACCTTTCCTCAAAACTATGTGGCGATCTTTTATGTGCAGATGCTGAAGACATGTGTTGCAATTTTAGCTGTTGACTTCACTGTCTTCCCAAGGCGTTTTGCAAAGACAGAGTCGTATGGATTTGGTTTGGTCCGTGACCTCTCAAACCCCCCATCAAACTCGTCAGCCTCCATCTGTGGTTGTTAATTCAGAGCTCCCTGCCTAATGCATCCAACAGGCTTACCACCATCGCTATGTGCTGAGAATCTATATCTCGGTGTGCTTGGCTTTCCCATAGGTTGGTCCTTTCCGTGGGTCCATCAGTCTTTCAGTTCTCCGGTCCGTTTGTCTGTTTGTCAGTTTGTCCGCCCGTTTGTTGGTCCGGCTGTCTGTTCACCCGTCTGTCCATCCGTTCATCGGTTCGTCCATCTGTGCGTCAGTCGGTCCATGTGTCGCTTGGTCCGTCAGTTGGTCCATTGGCCCATCCGTCGTGTGTCTGTCCTTCGGTCGGTCTATCTGTTGGTTTGTCC